TAAGTGTTTCGCAATATATTCTTACAAACTTAGCTGCAAATACTTGCAATACTGCTGACCCACCTTTAAGCAATATTTACGTATTCACTCACTAAGTCTTTTGTCACTCCAGATGTTTTGTATGCATGCGTTGGTTATGTACAGCAAAGTATACCATATATACAGCTTAGTATTTCTAAGTAACCCACCTTCTTCACACTTTGGTGTGAAAGGTGTGAGTTGAATTTACACAGGACCCTTTGTGTGCCCTGTGGATACTATTTACACTCATATGGTCCTGCTTGCAAGTGCAATATAGCCATTATGTCACTGCATTCACCATACATTACCAATTTCCATATTGCATAAATACCTACACTGAGCACTTATCATCTTAACTTGACAACGACTGGTAAACATCTTTTGTCTTCAATGAATAACCTGTAAACACCATTCGACAGCTTAACTACTGCACCTGTGACAAACAAATGTACTATATGAACACCGAGAGGAGAGAGCAAGGTTCACATTCGTCATGTGGAGGCACCTTTAGGACAATTGTGCATGTAGCTATGAGAAGAAGTACCGCAACCTTGAATATGACTTAGCTCTTTGTCCACAAAATGTATACCAGTTCAGGTATAAAAAGAGGGGTATGGTCTTACAACAGCACGTAGCTCTCTTGATTCCAGCAGCGTGATTCTGACTTGGTTTCTGTTAAACCCGGCAAAGCCACAAAATACCATCACATTGATTAAATTGCTACAGTTCACAGAGGTGTCATAGCTCAGCACAGTTATCATTGAGGTACACAGACCAAAATAATGTTCAACACGACCCCTATGAAACTACGTCAGTGTTAAGTATCATGTGCACACATCGCACGTCACGTTGACAATGTTTTTCTCAAACTAATACATCGAAGTGTTCAAACTAATAAATCGAAGTGTTCAAACTAATACATCGAAGTGTTCAAACTAATACATCGAAGTGTCCAAACTAATACATCGAAGTGTTCAAACTAATACATCGAAGTGTAAAGAAAGGAAAGAGAAAAAGAAAGAAAGAAAATGTTTTAATTTTTTTTTCGTGTAAGCCCGGTAGGTTGCAAAACTGTATATTTAGTTAGTGTTGAGAGCTTGCCCAACTTTTCAAAATCATGTGTGAGCCCGGGCTTTATTTCATGATGGTAGCTACGCCCCTGTTTACCTTCGTCCTTTATTTTGCGCAAGATACTGACAGATATACCAGTAGCATCGCTGGCTTTTTTGAGTGCACTGTGTGTGCTGTCGGAAATAGTACACATGTACTGAATGACATTGTAGGCAACCTCACGTGTTTGTGAATGAATGACTTGACCCCGTTTACCCAATTTAGAGTGCGACATGATAAGTTTCAAATACCTGCAGAGTTTAATACTCTTTTAACAGTCCACTTTACAATATACTAGTATACATATGCTCGAGCAGAAACACAACGTTTCGGAATCATTGCGTAGAAAGTGATCACAAATATCACGTGCGCGAAGTTTTCACACCTGTTCCCCTTTCGAGTAGGTAATGGATCAGTTCACGGCACGCTCCCAGCTGTCCTTTCACAAACGCGTCTTTCGCGCACCTCATTCTAATGTTGGTTGGACAGTGGGAATATTTGTTTGTATCTGTTACATGAACAAAGTAGTTGGTGTAGAAGTGATAGAGTGTGAACATTTCAAACTCTGTGAACTGTACAAAACTTGTCTTCAAGCAATTGAAATATGTTTTAGTTGTTTGACAAATAACACCATTTATTCACAACTATGAATGATGTCTTAGCTTTGTTAAGAAAGAGAATAAAGATAAGATACAATTTAGACAGCAGACTTAAGAGTTTGTTCAGTGATTCTGAATTCTGATATAAATTACATTGAATTGTTTGTGAAAGAATTGGTGTAGAAACACAACTTCCCAAAGGAAACTTCAGTTTCAAATTATTTTAAGGCGTGCTGAACATGTTTGACTGTACCTACTTCAACATGAAATGCTGAAATTTTATGAGATCAACAGCTCTTTAAGTGTGTGTGGGAATGTAACACAGGTTTTAATGAATTTATAACTATTTTTAGTCACGATGTGGCTGAAATACTGCAACTGTGACTATAAACTTTAACTCACTCACTCACTCATGATATATCGTCTCGCCTCATTAATCTGGTATCAGGATATATCGTCTCTCCTCTTAGACTACGAAGCACAGCTCTAATACCAAGTATGTGCATATTTACACATTTACAACAGTACTTCACATCATTAATGCATTGTAATCATCTTTTTCGAAAGTATAGATAATGAAATTTGTGCAGCTATGTGAACACACCTGTCTGTGTTTTATTGCAATCAGCAGTCTCTCCTTGTATGTCAGATATAAGAAGTGTACCTAAGGTCAATTATTTAAACTATAATGTAATTTCCATTACAAAAAGTATAAACGGTATTACCTACTGATCAGAAAGGCTTATCAGTACCCCACCACCACCACCCCGCCCTAGGCCTACCCCATCCCACATCCTCTCCCTCTCACACACATGCACACACACTCTCCCTAACATGCATATCGCTCTGGCCCATAGACCCAATATTGTAACCTTTTAAACAGACATCATGTGTATGTCAAGAAAGGCAGGCATGCACGTTAATAGTGGTGCTCAGTCATGGGTATCACTTCGCCATGTGTTTCTAATGATCTCCGTGCATTATGGCGTGGTCCGACCCGCTAACGAACCCGATGTGACAGTTACATTACAGAACCACTGAAATACATGTTAAAGTAGTGTTAATCTTGTAACACTATATTTACCCATTACAAACCATTTACGCGTGTGCTAAATATATGACAAACCTAACCCTGGTCGAGATTTAAAGGTATTGAAATGCATGTCCTACAATCACAGCATTTACATACGTTACACATGATAGAACACACATGAAAACAATGGCCAGATTTACACACCTGTGAAGTACATGTAAATACAGAGTTGAGTGTTCATTTATTTTAACACGACACAGGCACATTAAGACTGAAAATATATTATTTTGATATAAGGCAAAGATCTTAATTTCAATTGAAAAAAAAGAGACGAAGTAATTTTGAAGATTCACAGACTAACAACATCTATATTGGGGCTACAGGTGCAGGAAGCATCTTCAATTATAAAATCACATTCCACAAACATCAGATAAAGGTTTCTCTGACAAGCATATTTATTGGTATCTTGCCAAGCTCTCTCCTCTCTGAATGCAGTATAACCAGAGTGCTGTGGTCACCACCTCAGGTGGCCAAATTCAGCCATCCCATTACTTTACAGTATTTTCTTACAGACATATATATGGAAAACTTTTACGGGTATGGAAAGAGTAGGGGGAAACACGTCCAAAGTATTAGTCAGCTGAGATTATCCTTCAAAAACATCATATGTACAACAATCACTTATCATTATGTGCAACCAAAGCATTGCAAAAAGGCCATATTTCCAGACAGCATAACATCACCTTTGGCCGGAGTTCCAACTAATTTGACACCGAAAGCCTGTCAGTTAACGCAAAGGAAATAACCCTTGTGTTTTAAATGATGCCTTTATCATAGTCACAATGAAGTGTAGGTTGCAATGCATTTTCTAGTCTGTCTCACAGTCCCTGAACTACATTATTTTCCTTACTGCTTAGTCTGTCTCACAGTCCCTGAACCACATTATTTCCCCTACTGCCAAGCCCTCTCTGCAATGCTAAAGCCTTTAATGAAGCAAGTCTAGATCTCCTCAGGTCCAGGGTCTGTTAACATCTGCAAGAAACCTAATTCACCTTGGGGGTCGGGTTACAAAGTAAACATATCTAACTGCCATGGCTGGCCGGACTGAATCTCGTGTCTCCCTGGGGCTCCTTTTCATTTTAAATAGGTTTGTTTGTTACTATCAAAATTATATATATTCAGACACTAAGCGTTGGTCTATGTATTTTCCAATATGATGGAAATACTAAATATATGAATTTACCTAATAAAATTCTAAAGGAGCCTTTCTTCAAGCAGTGACTTAACGCCATACATAGCTAGACATGCTTAGATCATAGACTTCATATAAGGCATCATAGATATTTCACAAACCCTTAGCCTCATTAGCTTATTGCCTCACCACTTGCGAATTAAGCGTTGGCAGATGTAAATGTTACTGGCGATGTTGGTCCCGCAAGCTGTGGGTGTTTGGTATGGCACTCCATAACCCAAACCCTGCAGTGAGTTTTCCTAGAAACGGAAGAGGAAAAAATATCGTTCTGTGACTGTGATACAGACTGGGACAAGATATGGAAAACCAAAAATTTGGACAACAAACCATTGTTTGGGTGTTTTCATTGCAAATATGATTTAAATAGCTTAACCTAGATTTCGATATCCTCCGAATGTACATTTGGTGGAAAATATACATTCATCCCGAGACAAGGACGAATGTTTATATATAATTAAAAAATAGCAACAGCACTAGTATCCATTTTGTCTTTTCTCTTCTACCCGTCAAAACTAGATTAACAACTAGTCTCTGATATGAACATATTTTACAGAAAAATAGTTCATAGTATAAAACAATATATAATATAATGAAAAGGAGCCCTGAAACTTTCTCCTGAAGCTGTGCAAATCTAGACTTGCCACATTTTGTAGACTTGCGTGGGCTTGGATATATTGCTTCAGGGTCTGTATGACAGACGACGTCCCAACATACGCTCAGTCACTTGCAAGGTAATGAAACGGCAGAATCTCTGCTGGAACACAGCTCGCATTTAACAACTGAAAACTCACGGAGTATGATAATGCATCAATGTGTAGCCTTGTTCTGCACAAATGGATTTTTCTTGTATCTGCTCAGTATCATTTTCTGGTCTCTTGGGGGTTCAGCCTGCATGGTTCATTTACTAAATTTTGCTGAATTGAGTGGCAGTACACCTGCACAGTCAGCCAGTTTGTTCACTGTCATGGGTGTGCCGGCGCTTTGTTCCGGACTGCTGATTGGTTTTGCCTCTTCTGATCCAGCTATTGGAAACATTATCCTTCACGTTGGACTACAAGGAATGACAGCAGTGTCCCTTCTGCTACTCCCCGTGCTGTCACATACGTACAGTCTCCAAATGATTTTCAGTGCCCTGTATGGTACATACAGTCAGGGACCTTACACATTGGTTAGTCCTATATGCATTGAGCTGATAGGCCGATCCAAATTGGCCGTTGGATATGGTATATGTTCCTTTTGCTTTGGACTCGGCAGCATGGTTGGACCACCCATTGCAAGTAGGTTACACTTGAACGTATATTTTGCCGGTGAATGTGTGAGCGGTTGATGCGATAATGCGTTCATTAATGTGTTAATAGACGACTTGTAACCCACGACCTGACTGGTGCGTGGAGGTATGAACCAATCATCAAACATGCATAGTCATTAATGCTCAAATATGCATTTTGGTATATACTACTAAAGCTTTTAGTTTTGTTCATGACCTTAAACTATTTTATCATCAAACTGAGACATAATATTTTCTGTTAAATGAAGAACCACCACATTGTGTTTCAGGTCTTATTTATGAAAGTACTGGGGTGTATGACTTAACGTTTCTTTTCTCAGGTAGGTAATTGTGATCACCCTTATTGAAAATCGCCATATTGTCAAGAAACAAGTAAAATGAGTTTATGCACTCTGCCAGATGAAAATATGTGGAAAGAGAATAGTCCACTAAATGATGAGAGAGTAAGTGTAGATTTTGTATTTTGTTCAGATATAAACATTCGCGTTCCATTTGTTGAACTAAACAGTATGACAAACCAATAATGAAGCATGCAACTTTATGGATGACAACTTCTTGTTTACTGAAAACAGACTCGTTTCGATGTAGATTCCTACACCGCTATCACGTTTAGCTTGGTAACAGTGTAAGAATCTACATCAAATTGGTCGCTCTGTGCAATAAACAAGATGTCATCCATAAAGTTGTATGGTTCATTGTTTACTCCCCTTGTTCAAGAATGCTGAACCTTCAGGAAAAAATTTCAAACAATTGACAAACCATTGATTGTCAGGTGGTAACCTTTAATTTCTGATAGAGACAAACAATTAACTTGAGAGGAAAACCACAATCGTACAGTTTTGAGAAACAACACGATTTCTTTGTAAACATCGGATATTATTGTCTGTAAATATACATTTAATGCGCATGCTTTCTAGTTGTTTCAGTACAAAATGGTTTGCCAACACCAGTGCCTCATTGTTGTCTGCATATTTCATGTAAGGGAGTATAGTTTTACGCTGTTTTAGCAATATATCAGCAATATCACGGCGGAGGACACTGGACATGGGTACATATCTTTTTAACTCTGTGTATATTTGGTCATTGTTTCGTTGCAGGTGCCTGTTTCATCATTAGTGCCTTCCTCGCCTTGTGTATTCCATTGACCAAGAAGCCAAAATAAATGGATGTTTAAATCTATGTATGAATAGATATAGTATTTTTTATCCCCCGCAACGAATTGGGACGGGGCTGTTGGTTTGACTTCCGTCCGTCCGTCCGAGGTGATGCGGAGAGATCTTCCCAAAAACCGTCATAGACATGGAAACAAAATTTGGTATGTGCTTTCAGGACATGATGGAGATCGCAAACGGAAACCGTGTTACAACTTGTTACAGAGTTAAATATAATTTGCACATTGTATAGAGAAGCACAAACGTCATTCGGACACAACATTTTGCACAAACTGGCACGTTAAAACATTTTACGACTTTGCATTAGGCACATGTTTTGGAGTTGTCCAGGTTTTGATATCTATGGACTTTTTGAGGAGTCACTCAGTTGGATGTCAAGGCAGAAGTAAGAGACAACTTTGAGTAGCTATACGAATACCATTTTGAACAAATCAAACAACTTACTTTCCCATTGTTTGGGTGGCTATTCTAGATTTAAACGAAGAAGAAGAAGAAAAGGACCAAGTTCAATGACTCGCCTTCCTCGTCTCTTGATTCAAGATATAGACCTGCGTGAAATGAGTACATTCTTGTCCATTTGACATGTGTAACCGATGGGGTAGCGTTGGTCCCTGGCATAGCTTAGAATGGAGACAATCTGCTCACCAGGAGTATGTCCGAAGAACATATGGACTCAGTGTTGTAATGAGTTAAACACTCTTGTGGAAGAGGGTAATGTTGATGAGGCTGCACATATACTGTCCAGCTCTATAAGCGAAGCTGCAATAGCCAGTGGCATGCGAATCAGAAACAGAGTGGGACAAGGAAAGTAAGATCATTAAATCACAAGAGAATTACAAACTCCTTGAGAAGTTCAGAGCAATCAACATGAATAGTGATTTCCAACACTATATATATAGAAGGTCAAGAAATAAACTAAAAGGCACCTGCAGACAAATGAGAGAGCAGCTTCAACATAAACAGGTCACTAAAATAAGAAGTACTCACTTAGGCAATCAAGGCAATACTGGAGCAAGTCATTTTAAATGATGTTTAACAAGGGAGAGAACTCATTCTATGAGGCGCACGTACAATATTACAGCCTTGAACCTGTGTGAAATGTTGGGTACTGAAAGGCACTGTATGTCATGCGTGTGTTTATGCGTGTAAGATTGGTCGCGAGGAATGGATTCATACTGACATGATGACTGTTGTTGGATGAATATAAACATATATGTGTATATATAGAGAATCTCACCCAAGTGTCTACTGATATCAATTATATCAACACGAGTTGATAAAGTTACAAATATCCGAGGCTTTCGAGGATATTTTTACCTTTATTAACGAGTGTTGATATAATTGATATCAGTAGACACGAGGGTGAGATTCTATTTATCATCAAAAATCATTCTTCATTAGTTTTCAATGACAAATGTACATCTCTCAACACTGTACTACCATCAGACTTGTCACAGCAAAAATAACTTGGTTTCCGGACCCCGGAAACCTAACGGAAACAAAATGGAAACTTACGTTTCAACTAGGTTTCCGGAACGTTTCTCTACATTTCCTTCAAGTTTCCGGAAAACGGAAACTTACAAATTACCCAGAAACCGGCATGGCTCCAGTGCGTTTCCGTTACCCAGTTTCCAGTAAGGGCTCCAGTGCGTTTCCATTACCCACTTTCCAGTAAGGCTCCAGTGCGTTTCCGTTACCCTTTTTCCTGTAGGGCTCCAGTGCGTTTCCGTAACCCAGATTCCTGTATGGTTCCAGTGCGTTTCCGTTACGCAGATTCCTATGAGGTTCCATTGGGTTTCCCTTATCCTCTACTTTTAGATGGTTTCATATACATTGTATCTACTTAGTTCAATTATGATTCCCTGTGAATTTCGATTCTATTAAACACATTTACCATGTTCCATAAGTTTCAGTAAATCAGAATCTGTATGGCTCCATTTGGTTTCAATCATTAGTGGTCAGGGATTACCATATGTCCATATTAAATTATGATTATTCAACTAAATTAACTGTAGGTGAAATGAGTGTATTATATATTTGAATGTATTAGGTCATATATTTTATTCATGATACATTGAAATATAAAATAAACTCATTTCAACTACAGTTACCTCAACACCACATGGACATAGAAATAAATAAATACAAAATCAGGCATGTCAGTCGATTTCTCTTTATTCATCATAAACATATATATCATATCTATGTTTCAATGTTACAATTAAACATTGACACAAAGCACACAGAGGGACAGAGAGAGAGAGACAGATGTTCTTGTCCTAAACAGGGTGACTACAGGAGATAATTGAATGTACATTTAGACATTCCATCCTATTCCTAAGACCTTTAGGTGGTTGGAAAGAATCTTGTTGGATGGTGTCGCAAGTTCTTCATTTTGCCGCTGGAGCTTCAGACACCACTGGCGATGTCAATTCTAGGGTTAGGACTGCAGCCACCTTCTGTGTTCTTTTCTCTGCCCAGCTAGATTCTTCAGGAGGTGTTGGAGTTTCTGGGAAAAAAAAATGAAATTCTTGCACTGCGAAAGTTATGTCCAACATTTATTCTTGAGTGCGGCACTTGTTCTAATTAGATAATGGCACATTACGGTGATGGGTAATGACATGTGATAAGGAAAGTTATTCTATTACAGGTATATAGCGATGTGATAATATGTAGCACATCATGTCAGTGACTCAGAGTGTTTTAAACTGGTGTCAGGAAGTGTATAAACCGGTACAAATTATATTATATTATCCAGTTTCAGGAACTTACAGATCAGATTCTTTTGTTTCTTTTAGCATCTTTCCTGTGTTTTTCTTTCCTGTAGTCTGCCGACGTCGATCGTCCGTCTTGCTCCTCCAGATTATCCAAAAGGTTTCTATTAAGAAAAGCAAATGAATTAATTTTCATTCGTCCAATAATAGATTATTACAATCCGACACAAACATTCATAAGTTTGATTATTATCATGTATCAAACCAAGTAATAAGTAATTGTGGTATATCAACTACATGTATATGCATTACAGCCCGGGCGTGAGAAGTTTTCTATTAACATGACAGACATGATTATGCAGCAAATATGCACTACATAATAGTATGCTATGTCAATTCTACTGCTAGTACTAGATACCTGACAATGAAATAATTAGATGCTAGATTTACCCAATGGTGAACAAGAAACGAATTAATTGTATTTTGTAATACTGACGTGTCTAATCTTATAAAACCCAACATATATCTTGATTATGATGACGAGCAATAATTAAACTTGGGGTAAGTTTTTTTTTACCTTAAATAAGTAACTTTTAATGGATTTTCAAGGTACTCCAGGAACTTTTCCATGATTCTTCTCACGGGCCCCTTCTCACAATAGCCTAAAACAAAAAAGAGACACACATTTGGATCATGAACATATGTCGATTGGTAATATTTTCCACCGGAATATCATGAACTACTGGTTTCATCTATATTTGTTGCCTTGCTGGATACATGTATAACAATTTCTTAAAATATATTTTTATTCCATCAATAACCTGGAAAGGTGAACAAGCCAAGTGTCTTATATAAACGCCGCTCCAGTACACGGTTCCAATATAGCTGGATACATAATTGAAATAGTCCGACAAGAAAAGAATAATACTGAGACAAAATTACACTCAGAAAAATGACTGAAGAATAAATATTTGGTTATGGTGTTGGTTGTGCCCAGCAACAAAATGAGCTGCCGCAGGAAATCAAAATTATATAAACATCAGACTCAACGTACAGGAACACAAGGGTATACTTGTCTTATGGTTATATTTTAACGGAATGTTCAGTTGGTATCAACAATAATGTTGTTTTTTTAACAAATTTCACACCAAAATGCAATGTCCACATTAATAACCGTGGGGAGAAATCGAAATGCGAGCGCACAGTTAATGTACGATAAAGGTTCCGGGTCCTACCGAAAACGTTTAATTCGATGCAAACTGACTGCTATGATAAGAAGAAAATAATTAATTTTATCTGAAACCTACCTGCCAATTTCTCTGTCTTGGGTTTCCGTTGAGATCGCTTGAGTTCCCGGATCCTTGTTTCCAAAGCTTCGATTGTCAAGTTTGTTGCCATGTGTCAAGAAAACTATAGCAAGTATACAGACTGCCATTTCTACTACCTTACTCTCATAGACTTACTTGGAAACAACAACGAAGTTTTTTCCAATCTCGCGCGTGTACGTTTGAACAAAGATGGCGGCATTTCAAACAAAGACTTATGGGTAGTCAATTAGGTTGCTTTTTTCATTTCTATTGTTAACATGCCAATAGTCTGCTTACCCTTCATAAGCTTGGAAAAACACTGATAACTGCAATATGTGTTTATGTAAATTGTTTGTTTTTACAATGTCCGTCACATCTCGCGACACCTCATTCATTCCAAATCAAGCGCTTCCGGTTTCGGGACAACAATTTTAGTATGTGGTCTGACTGCAGCACATGCTACCTCGACCGTGACGGACCCCGGGACTGGGCAGCTGTCAACCATGGCAGAATTTCCTCAACCTAAAGAATGAAACAATAAGAACAGTGGATGTATTTCCCGTAATAAAGTACTCCAGCAGTCAGTATAAGCTTTTTTCAGATTTTCCGATGCGTTGATCGTATATGACCGATCCAATTTGATCCTATTTCTGTGTATTTCTTTAAAACTATTACCTGATATTTAATCATATCAAGAACAATGTGATGGTTGATGACCTATTATTTTAAAACCACACAGCGTAGTTCCCTAAGATTCTGTAGGCAATTAATATTGCATGCAATACAACGATTTTACCCGTTTATTTGTCATCATTCACTTGATGGTCATCTAGTGAACTACATGTTATGTAATATATGCATGCAGGAGCAGCAAAAGGAATTATCAGCTGAGTTAAAAAAACAAACACAGATGAAAGGATTAACCGATAACACGCTAATTGATTTATTACTTTTATCTTGCACGACGTCTTTGTCAAAAGGGCCCGTCAAAAGATAGTCTTTATATTTGTAGAGTTACTAACGTATACTGAAAAGCTTTAGTATTTGTGATGTTTGTAACAACAATATGGGCGACACACAGGGATTTTCAGGTTGACCGCACTTGGAGAACAATGGACATAATCTGTGATGATAGGCATGCAGGTAACACTAAATTCCCAAGTTGAAAACAAAATAAATTGTACAACGAAGTGATATCCGTAGAAAATACCAGATGTTAGATAATATTTTACATATTCATGACATGGCAACAACAATAAAATCCATTAAAATGACATCTTGGGACAAATTATTTTAATCATCATAATGATAAAACAATTTCATAATACATGTACATAGTACACATCCAGTCTACACTGCAGTTTCATTAAGTATGAAACTGTTTCTGCGAACGCAAGTACATTTATTCTTCCTGTTGACAAATCATCAGTGGTATTGTTAAATATATTTATCTTACAT